TATTATATTATGTTTGTTAAAACTTTAATAGAAAAATTATTCAAATAAATAGCTATAAAGGAGAATTTTGACAAAATTGTAAATATTATATAAACATTTTTCATATTCATTAACAAAATAATAAATTCAAAAAAAATTTTACTTGAGTTTTAATAATTTTACAATTTTTTAAATGTAAATAAAACGAAAAGATTCCTTCAATTGAATTTTTAAAAATATTAAGAAACATTGGTCCCAATAGATCTCTAGATCGAGATAAAGTAGTGCCTTCTCCAACAACTTGATCAAGCAACAATTATCATTTTTAACTTAAAACAACAAGTTCATTTTCTAAAGAAACCGACTTATATATCGCCTAAAAGTACAAACTTATGTTGAATCCATTCCTATGAATCAACAATTTATCAGGCTGAAATATATAAAAATCGAAATGAGTGTGAGGGAATGTTTTCGCAGCAAGATAAAAGGAACTCATATTTACCTACTTTCGGATAGTCAAATAGCATTAACAGGTCTCTTTTCCATAACCTCTATATCGAAAATAGTAAATACTCATAATTGCCTAACCTTTCTCAATGCGTCCAATATATGACTTATTAGAATGGAAGGTCTAAATTTAAGATATGAAGGATTTTTTCAATGAAAAATTTTTTGAATCATTCTTTTATGGACACCCGTTATCTAGCTTAATTTTAAAAAAGAAATAATTTTAAAAAGGAATTATCTCCCTAAGTTAAGTATTTTAAAACGAAGCACCCTTGTATAGCATTCCATTAGTACCCTTGTATAGCATTCCAGTAATCAATTTGATGACTTATTCCAAAATGAAAAGTTCTTCAATAATGATTAGCTTTATAAGAAATAAGTTTTTAAAAAATTCTTTGAGAAGTGAATTCTTTCATAATAATATAAGGATGACAATAAAATAAATTTAGGTGATAATTGTGGTTTAACAATAAACTTTTATTGGCACTTAGCGTTAATTAAAGATACTGAATGGGATTGATTGAATGGGATCCTATTTAATTTTATTTAGACGAAATTTGATATGAAAAATCAAATATATATATTAATATATATTATGTCTTATCCTTTCGAGATTTTATTTTTTTAGCAATTGATTTTTAAATATAAATAAGTAAAAAATAGACACCTATTTTAAAAATAAAAAAAGTGAAGACCTCGCAACAAGTTTTATTTCTAATAAGAAATATCAGTTAAAACACCCCGCTTATCTAGGAAATCGAAAAAAAAACTTAGAGTACTATAAAAACTTAAACTGCAAAGTGGTTGCTTATGCGAATAACATAAACATCTCAAGATATCATTAATAAGATATAACGATAAAAAATGTGACTGCAGAAACAGTAAATTAGTTGACCTATATACCCACTTAATGGACTGCTTTTTCAAATCAGTACTATAACTGTTGTTGGGACAAGTGGAGATTACATATAAACGGACAATTAATATATATTTATAGTGGACATGAGAAGTTGCAATTAATAATTTAACACATGCCAATATAAAAACATTTTAAATATATTAGACATAATTGTAATTTAGTAACTCTATTATCAAAAGCACTTTACATAACCTATAGATATTCAAAAAATTTTATTTAAGCAGTTAATATATTTTCAACTGACTTCTCGATTGAACTGTGGGAAGAGCAAAATGACGTCCTCAAAATCAACTATATTCACGATTACAGCTAATGTGGTTATGTAGAAAAGATACATTCTTTTGTTAATTCAATAAGAAATGACCTATGCGACATAGTAGATTATATTTCTAAAGATAACAAAGACATTAAATAAAAAATGTGGTTTTTATTGTAGATATCATACATGATTTAACTAGACAAATTAGACTATATGAAACATTTTTTATAGATATAGTTGTAATACATGGAGAGTATCTTATTAATTATTATTAATAAGAATAATTCAATATAAAAATCGTGTTCTAATTCATTTTAAACCCTTTTTTTATTTAATCTTTGTTTTCATACTATTTTAAGAAAAAAATACACATTATTTTTTATATAAAATATAATAGAAACCATCATTTTATGTGTACTATATTATATATATACTTTTATAAAATATATTATTATATATAAAATAAAATTTATATATAAAATTATTTATGAAATTATTTTATATATATTATTTAATGTATATTGTTTATGTATTTTATTTAATATAGAATATATATACTCAAGAACTAAATCTAGTTCAATCTTAATTCATGAAATCATGGATATAGTACAATTACTAAAGAATACGAATTTTTAAGGTCTATTAAATTTTGGTAACATCCTATAAACCGGTTTATAAATTAATAACAAAATTCTATCTGTTCAATTTTCTGTTTTTTCTGTACATCTTCGATTCTCTTTAATCAAAAACTTATTAAACTAGCCACAAAAATATCTCAATCTTGGCACATTATAGCTATATAATGCTATCGTTAACTTAGAAAGGCTTCGATATATTAACCAAAGGATATTTACTTTACTTAGAATTATTTTTTGAGCCAAAAACAAATTCTATGAAAAATTTATTACAAGCAATTAGAAGTACCTGGTAAGTAGAATATTTAAGAGGTTTAAAAATTATAAAGACAAACATATCAAAATTCGAACTAAACCGGAAATTCGGTGAAAACCTCTTCACTTAATCTATGAATGAAACTGAAAACTCATATGTTCCAACAAAATAGATTGCCAAACTTAAACCATTGTTCGAAGATAATACACAATAAAATATATGTTATATTTATACAAATAATCTATAAATATTTAAAAACATTATGAAAACATTACTTTCACATATGCTATCAAAACCCACTTCAATAATAAATGAAACATATAAATAAAATGAATTAAATAGATTAGAGGTTCATTATATAAATAGACTTCTTAGATTAGGTTGTTTTAATTTATTTAAAGTTTCATGACTAGTAAATTGCTTTTAATAGCGTATTGCATTTTAATAGACACACTCAGATAATTTCAAGACCCCACTTCACTGTTAATAACTAGTAAAACTGGTTATACCTTCAAAATTTGGATCTCATCTGAAAAAGTATAACAGCCAAAAAACGGATTTTAATTTTTAAAAAGGATACATAAAATTATACATATCTTAAAACTCTACATATCAGCACAACAATTACCTCTAAAGGCAGTTAATATATGACACATCCACATTACTATATACAACATTATTCTGGAACACACTTAACGATTGTCTTTATACTTTAACTTTGGTCCCATATAAATTGTATGTCTTATTCCATTGATTTGTTCAATTCCTATACCCACAATCTTCACACTCTACTTAGAGAATATATATGGATACAATCTATTTTTCTTAGTTACATTATCTCTATCTTCAGTTGTGATATGGTCTGTCATATAAAATGGAACCTGGGAACACCAACTCCGTGTCAAAAGCAGGTATTTATTGTTAATATATTGAATATAAATATTATTATTATTATTATAATATTTCAGCAAATCATTTCTAAAAATGTTATAAGTATTTCTATAGTTTTCACTATTTTTGAATCTATCAGCAATATATATTTAAGGTCATCTATGACAGAAATTTGATTAAAAATAAACGTATATATGTGTTCCATTATTTAACGTCAGACATGAAAGTTGTTTTTAAATGAAGTAGCATAACCGGGAAAGTTATTCCTTAATCCGAGTAATGGAGAAAAGAATTAACTATATATAAAAAATTATATTTTATATTTAGTGCAATACAAATATAATAAATATGAACGTACGTGCTTAGAAGTGAAATTAAGGGCGTATCCTGATATACTGCAATAATAGATAAAAATCGTTTTTCCATTCATGGTCACTTTTTTATATTTATAACTATATATATATATACTAATATTCAATTATTAAGATAAATTTAAATAAATTTTAAATATAGCTTATAAATGTTCAAGTGAAAAAATTATGAATCGATGAAATGTATAGAAATAATATAAATCCGTATTGTTATATGGGTCTTAGACTTGGAGAAAAACTAATGCTGTCACCGACAAGCTACAAGTGTTTATAAATAAGTATTAATGACAGATATTCTACTTCTTTTGGCCAAAAGTGATTTCCAACGCCGACTAAACCAAAGAAAATGGAACTGAACTTCATCCTAAGAACTCAGAGTGTGTTGGCAGGGCAAGAGTTCGAGTCCTGGTACTTGTAGTCTCAAAAAAATAATTATTTACGAGCTGTATGGTCAGCCAAAAATTCAATTAATTAAAATAATATAAAAACGAATTTTTGTTCTTGTTGTTCAGTACTGTTCAAAAAACTTTTTTATTGATATTCACGTAAACTCTACAATGCAACTAGATTTGCTGTAAAAAAACTGATTCCAACTTATATTCAAGCCACAATTCTGAATGCAGCGCCGTAAGTTGATGCCATTCTAATGCTATGGATTCTTATCGTTTATATACTTGGTTATAAACCAACTCAACTGATTTCTACAAAATATTTTTGTTTTATAAAATTCCAAATTTAAATGTGAAATTCCTATAAATTTTGTTATAAAATTATTTACATTCGGTAAGACGTAGAAATGCACGCCGATTTCAGCTAGTATTACCCAAATTTTTTTTTGCAATTTTCACAAACTAATTTTAGAAATTGCTCTACTAAAATTTATTATAATTAAATTTCCGTCTTATATGCATATTTCAGAGAAAATTGTTTTTAATTATTTTTCATTCAAGTTTTGATGACATTTTAATTTTGATTAAGGGCGCAGTGTTAACGAACCAAATAGAGTTAGTATGGAAATAATTTAAAAGAAAATTTTTAATTTTTGACAGAATTGATATCCTTTCATTGATTTATAGACGTTTCCTGTGCTGACCTTGACAATGGTTCCGGTCACAAAAGCAACAAACGACTACAGCTCACAGCAAGAAAGGTGAAAGCTTAGGGAATAAATGATGACATTTACCTGTATTGCAGTCCAGCACCAGGGCCAGCAGGCAGGCAATTGCAATAATGAAACGGAAGGATTGCATTTTAATTAAAAATCCAAAAAATACCACAAATTTACAACATAAATTTTATGCAATTTTTTCTTTTTTTTATTTTTTTAAGTATATATTTTTTAAATATAATTGATATACACTGAGTTTATAATGAATTGTTTAAATTTTAAATTTATTTATTTGAAATATAAATTTATTTTAAAAATTTTTTTGCTAGTTATGTTTTCTTTTATTTATTTTTTTTAACACTAATATTTTATTTTCAACTGAAAACACAAGTTTTAAATATAATCCAATATTAAATCGTATTAAAAATTAATTTAAAATAATATGAAAAAAGAATATTTATTTTAAATAAATAATCTTTTAAAAGCAAATAAAAATTTTTAAAAAAGTTTATTATTAACCATTTGGTCAATTAACCCATAAAAAAACAAAATTATTATTAAAACATTTTTGGTCACTAAAACAATAAATTTATAAATAATTATCTATTTTCTAAGAATTAATTATTTAACAAAAATTGATATATCTTTAATAAAAAGATTTTTTTTTATTTTTTATAAAAATAAAAAAACTTTAAAGAATTATTAAAAATTCGCGCCAAACAACTCGTAAGACCACCGACACTAGTTATTCTGAAAGTTGTCGACTCGTTGACATCTGAAATCAAACTAACTGAATTCAACCAAACTAAACTGCAACTAAAATTGAAAGCAACTACAGGCGAGTAAAATAAGGCGAGCGCGCTTGCACATTCAGCTCGGCGCCTGGCGCACTGCTCTGCTCTGGGACACTCGCAGGCGAAATCAAAGCGAACTGAAGGTACGTACTAGTACGTACACTCATCCATTGGCTGCTTTCATTGTTGCTGTAATTCAAATTTTAACACTGCGCTTAGTGCAGAGTGAAGTGCTCGTTACTGTGAGCAGCGATTAAATGCAATGCCCCAACTTAAGTGCACAATAATTTCGCTACAACCAAACGCAACGTCAACCAACGTCAAGTGACGTTAAGCGACGTCAAGCGACGTTAAGCGACGTTGACGACGGTTAATACGTGCTGTTAATGTTTGCTACTGCGATTTGTGATTTTAAGCACACAAATTTTTTACCCAATAACAAAAATACTATAAAAAATTGATGGTTTTGCAAATATTTATAGTGTAATGTGTTGTGTAAAGTTCGGATAAAATTGCAATTTCCCACACAAAACACACAAATACATTTGCACGCACACATACACCCACACACACACACACTCAACGAAGTTGCCAAGTATCCGTATACGCGTAGTTGCCATAGAGGACGGACTTACTATATGACTCCTGTTATTATCGTTTCACAGTGAACTTATGGCTTTCATAATTAAGTTTATTTACTCCATGCACACAAATATCAGATTTGAAATGGCTGTGTCCCCAACTGCTTTCAGTCTTTTCGTCTGTCCGTCCGACAGTATATTTTATTTAATGGATTAAATGAGGAAAGTTACCGTATAATATATGGAGTTTGTAGTTTCAGTGAAGTCGTTGTGATTCAGTTAGCAAAACAATAATATTAACAATAATAATAGTATTATACACAATAATAATTAATAAGCATATTTTACTCACACTGTATTGGAGTATGAAAATATTAGAGCTCTAAAAGAATTGCCTGCTATTTTACTAGCTTAGAAACAATCTGGAGCTATAAATTTAAACAACATAGATCTGATATCAAATTTTCTTACAATTTGGACGATAGAACAAAGAGGATGACGTGTCGTAATCCTGATGATGACTCTTAAGGAGAGTCGAAATTTAGAGTATAATAAAAAATATTAAACCTTTAATTATTTAACAAGAAAGGACCTACAGCCAGATTAAAAATATATAAAAAAGAACAAATTTTTGTAATTTTTTTTTATAAAATAATATAATTTGTTTATAGGCAAAATATAAATAGTCAAGTATAAATATTATTACATGAAAACTTTTTCGCAGAATATACAAATAAATATTGCTCTCCTTTTATAAAGAGAAGTAAAAAAAATATATAAAATATATTAGTTAAGATTATGTATAAAAAAATAATTAATAAAAATTATATAAAAAAAATATTAATAAATAGATATATATTAATAAAAAAATGTATATAAAGAAAGAATTAATGAAATATATATAAAAAAAATTAATGGAACAAGTATAGAAAAATTATTCATTAAAAATAAATAAAAAAAAATTTAGAAGCACTAATAAAAACTTTAAAATAAAATTTTAATAAAATAATATAGAAAAAATATTAAGAAAAAAAATTAATAACAATATAAACAGATATATAAACAGAACTATTATTAAAATTTTGTAAAATAAATATTAACAAAAATTATATTTGAAAAAAAAAATTGTGAAAAAATAATATAACAAAGTAGAATTACTAAAAAATTATAAAACAAAACTGGAGAAAATATTAATAAGCAAACGAATTAATAAAAAAATATTAATAAAACAAAATATAGAAAAAATATTAACAAAAAATATAAAAAACAAAAAATTAATATAAAAAAAATATTAATAAAAAAAATAAAAAAAATATTTATAGAAAAAAGTTCACATTTTTTAATAATAATAAAAAAAATTGTAAGAAAAATATTAATAAAAAACATTCAAAAAAAAATATTAATAAAAAATATATTTAAAATAAATATTATTAATAAAAACTAAAAAATATATAAGCAGGAACGATAATAAAAAAAAATAACAAAAATGTTACTGAAAAAATATTTAAAAAAAAATATAGAAAAAATATTAATAAAAAATATATAATAAAAAAATATTAATAAAAAAATATTAACAAAAAATATATTTAAAATAAATATTATTAACAAAAACTAAAAAATATATAAGCAGGAACGATAATAAAAAAAAATAACAAAAATGTTACTGAAAAAATATTAAAAAAAAAATATAGAAAAAATATTAATAAAAACATTATTAAAAAAACAAAAAAGTATCAATAAAAAAATATTTAAACAGAAATAATAATAAAAAAATATATATAAAAGTAATATTAAAAAAAAAACAATAAATTTACAAAAAAAAAATTATAAAAAGTATAAAAAAAATATTAATTAAAAAGTTATAAGTTTAAACGCGTAAGTTTATGTTATTATAATATATAAATAATTCAGTAAGTATAAAAAAAATATACTTTCAACACTAAAGAGATACTACACAATTACATAAAATACAAAAATTTAAAATTAAAAATTAAAATAAAATTATTCCGACATATTTTTATCCACTGTTGTGGTTGACATTTTTATTAGTTTTTGACTAAAACAAAAATAAAAATGGATGTCATACAACCTACATGTGAATAACGCGCGAATACTTTAATTCTTATATTAACTTAAAGAAATTTTAAAATTTTTGTGCTTTATTTGAAGAAACACCAATCAAGATATTTCGTAGTATTCGTTGTAGTCGGTTTTCATTTTTAATCGTTGTACTTTTAATTTGAAACGTAATGGGTATTCAGAAGTAATGACTTTGATAATCGCCAAATTTATTTAATTTAATGCAATTAAAGTAAAGCGTGGAGCACCCACGCCTTTTCCCAAGCAAGGACAACAATTAGTATAAAATTACTTCAAACTTAAATAGAAGCCCTTAAGAAACGGAGACCAATTAAAGTTCATTGACAATGCGGTACTCAAAATCAAAACACACAAATAAATTGACATAATTAAAAATAAATTACTTCAAAAGAAGAGAAACATTAAAATTAATTGACCAAAACTACTCCATAGTTCAAATATGGAACAATTAAATATTTTATATGCGAGTACATTTTTTTATATAAATCCTTCTTGGAAAAAGACGATTTTTTTCTGGAAATGTCTCACTAATTACATTTAAACAATTTTATGTACGTGTTATGGTTTCAATTAAAATTGTAAACCTGTAAGTTCATTGAATTTATATCGAATGAAAATGATTCTATAATTAAGAAAAATCATTCTCGAGTCAACAGCTAGCAAAACAAGTTAGAAGAAACTTCTAGAGATCTGTTGATAGTGCTGAGAAAGCAGCAAAGACTTACTACTATTTTTATATAATTATAAAAGTGAACAAGTCAACAATTCATTAACATTCGTTCATTTTTAAAAATAAGCTCTCATTCATTGGGTTTCTAATAATGGACAGTTCTACGACTCAGTACCGATCTTCTATAATGAAAAACTGACCTCAACACCTTTGTTAAAGACTCATCGTTCGAAAGAAATGGGAACACAATGGATCTCTCCAAGCATGGTGGTACATAATGAGTCACAATAACAACAAAAATCAAAATCGATTTCGGAAGATAATTACAACCAATGAAGAAAACGAGGCGATATTATCCATATACTATACACCCGAAGTTTAGTACTTACAGAAAATAGAAAATAATGAACACATTAAATACCTTCGAATAAAATAGGACATGTAGGATAGGATGGGAAATCCAACATATAATATAGTGCCTAAAATGGAAGCAACAAAAATATAGAAAATAGATAATTATTAAATATCTTCAAAAAAATATCTCTATCAAAAAATCACAAATGAATTGGTGGTCTAGACGCAAGTTCTACAAGAAGAATAAGGCATAAATAGATAAAGAAGCGAACCTCAACGAAATAATGCGAAATTGATTCCGAAAAAGAATCAAACCCAATAAATTAGGGGAGGCATTATTTTCCGTATACTATACACCAGAAATCGAGAACGTATAGAAAGTAAATAATGATAAACCCAATGAATCTCTTCGAAAAAAAATAAGACTTCGCATGTATAATAGTCAAAAAGGAAGCAAAAAGAATTCACAAATAAATTGGTGTCCTGTACTCAAGAACTACAAGGAAAATAAAGCATATATAGTCAAAAAAAATAAAAATCGACGAAATAATGCGCTGTTGATATGTTTTACATGCATTGTTTTAGCATGACAGTCGTAATAAATATCATAATAGGATTACTTAGAACACCTTGGAATTATCAATCGCGTCTGTTAATTGACCTAAACGTTAGTCTTCGAATTAATTAATTGGAATTATCTTAAGCCACTTTGCGGGACATCATTATGGACAATTGAAATAAATTACCCATTAAAATAGTAACATATTTCTATCATTTTTAACATATATACATAAGTGAATGTTGGGACTCTATTTTTTTCGACTACTATTTCTAGCTATTCTTAGCTGGATAGAAGTGGTGGTAGAACCCACTCTACTA